TTATAGAATTCACCAATAAAGCCATCTAATCCTGGATTCTCTTTGTTGAGAGATTTTGGATTACTTATTCAATTTCCTTACTAGTAATCTTATCTGTTCACATTTTCTATTTCATCATGATTCAGTATTGGTACAATGTATATCTCTAAGAATTTATTCTTGAATGGCATTCTTTAAAAGAGGAACAAGGAGGCAAAAAATAAAGTATGAACATAAATAAAATATAAAATAAGTGTGTAAAATATAATTAAAAGATATAAAACATATCATAAATGGTAAATTTAGGAAAAATGGAAAGAAACAAGAGAATAATAAGGAAATTTCAGAAAAAGTATAGAGAAAACTGAGGAGACTATATCAAAAATTGAAGAAATTTTCCATAGTGGAAGAATATAATCCCACTGGGTGCCAGCCAAGAGATGAAACACACATTGAGAAGGGTATTGATAGTTCAGAATATATTAGAAAAAAGAATATCCTAAAAGTTTTCAGAAAACAAGAAAAACTGACTCATTAAAAAGATAAAAAGTATGAATGGCTGAAGACTTCTCTACAGCAACACTGGAAACTCAGTCAGGGAAAAAAAATGCCCCCAACATTCTGCATAACATTTATTTTCAATCTTGAAATCAATATTCAGTCAAACTATCAATGAAGTGAGAAGATAGACGAAAGTTGAGGTAGATCTTTGTGGATCTAGAGAGAAAAATGATTAGAGATTAGGAAGGCCCTGGAAAAGGTGCTCTAAGACAGTGACGTTGGCAGAATATTTGATGTAGATTAAGTATCTTATCATTTGATTGATCTTCTCAAAGAAGATTTAAACAACCATGGAATAGTTTGGAGCCATTTAGTGGTTACTTAGAAAATTAAGCAAAACTTGGGAAACTAAATAAGCAAAGAAGGGTAGAGAAGGAGTACAAACAGGAAAAGTAAGATAGACCATATTGCTCAGATGTTCATGGATCTCTACTCTAGACAACATTCTGAACATTGAACTCTGCTTGAAGTAAAACTATCATGTCACCATAAGTGGGAAGATGATAGGGATATTTAAAGTCTGAGTGTGTTCAGTGGTCAAGTCTATGAAAAAAAAGCTAAATTCTCATCACCTAACATAGTAGAAATTTAATTATAATGCCTACAACTGAGAAATCAATACATGATGTTATATTGATCTTATGCAAATAAATATCCAAAAAGAACTAGAAGATTTTAAACTGTCTTTGGCAAGCAGAAAATGTTTAGCCAGAACTAATATTTTGTACAATTAACCTTGCATTGTTATTTAAATATAAATAGAAACCCTAACATTTTCATGCCACTCTCACCCCAGTGAATTATTTTGTACATAACTGGAGGCCACTGTTTGGCTCATGCTGGTTCTTGTATGCATTTTTAGTAACCAATATTGGAAATGTTCAATATGCCCCTGGAATCTGCAGTCATAGCCACCAGGTGGCAATAGTGAGTTATATCTGGACCTGCAAGATTCCTGTTCTGAAATGTCCCTTGAGCACCACCTATGTGATGATGTCATGGGATTCTGCATTTGATCATGTCCTAGACAAAATTCATCATTCAATTGGAAGAATTTATAGAAGGCATATCCACACGATCTTAGATGTCCTGTATCTGTGTGAAATAACAAGCATAGAATTGGGATTAAATAAAAACAATAGGTTATAATTGCTATGTTAAAAACAATATGAAATGTAATTAAGTGTGAAGTCTTAGATGTAGGCTTAAAAACACATACATAAAAAATGTTCTGGAATGTAAATGGTACAAAGGAAATCACTGACTGGAAACTCAGATACATGGATTCTGGTTTCAGCTCTGCAGTGACCACCTAGGTCATATTTGAAATTCATTTTGGTCTTCTGAACAATGAGGTCTTTGTACCACATTAATTTCTAAATACTTGCCTGCACTAAAAGTCCACAATTCTTTTATATATTGGAAAAACTTTTTTATAACTATGGAAGATACAGAAAGTGTCAAGAAAACAATAGATACCCCAATCCCATTGTTAATATTGTTAATATTTTGACATATTTCATTTTAGTCTATTCCTGGGCACTATATGTGTATGGATATATTTTTATTATTACAAAAATTACCTCATTCTGTGTATTTAATTTCACATAAGTCCCCCATCATGAAACATTATAAAACAAGCACTTTCCCATTCAGTGTGTCCATTGGCAATGTCCTTCAGTCACCACAGCATGAGAGGTTCCCTCTGGCCTTGTCATCCCCAGCTGTCTCCAGCTTCACCCCCTAGATGCTTTGCTTCTCCTCCCTTCTTTGCATAGGAGAAAGTACAGCACACACACCCACACCAGATTCCTCCTCCACCTATGGAGAAATGTCATGCTTACTTTGTTGTCCTTATATCTGCAAACACATGCTCTTAGCTTTCTATTCCAAATCCTTTTGGGCCAGGGTCAAACCCCTTGATCTCAGGTTGAAACCACTGTCGTAGGCAAAAGACTAATCTGCTGAGGATCCTCCCTTCCCTTATTTTGGTAGTTTCTGTACTAATATTTGGCTCAATTAATGGCTCATCTTAGCCTTTCTTAATAGCTCTGTGTCTGAGCCTTATCCTCCACTACTGTCACTCTGCTCTTCAAACTTTACCCCTTACCTCAGCATCATCTTCAATCAGCACAGCAATCACATGCCCTAAGCAAACAAAACAAAAGAGTAGAGATGACTGTGAGGGGTTCATGTTGACCAGCTAGATAACACAAGCGTTGCACCCCATCCCACCTCCCAACACCTGCATTTAACCCTTAATATGTATTATATTAGCATTACAATTTACTGCAGAATTTAAATTTACCTTAAATTTTTAATGCATTTCTAAATTTGTGATATTTGCATAAATATTACCTAATGTATTTTTTTTTAAGTCTATACATAGGAAAAAGTATGGGAAATCCATAAAGGATGAAACATGGCAAACCTATTTTGATTTTTAAATTTTGTATCTACCCATGCATTTTAATCATTATGTTTTATACACACAGATATACATCTATATATGCATATATTTGCAGTTAAAGTTTTAATGTGGCAGTGAGAACTTTATATACATTATGTCTTTAAGTTTCCATTCTTATTAATAGGCCATTAATTATCCCATCCCAATATTAATATTCCATTCTAACTAATATCCAAATTATATATCACTTTCTGATTTTTTTTTCTATTTTAAAATAGTTAATATTTAAGCCCTAAATTTCAGTTGTCACTTTATACTCCTACAAGAAATTTTAAGCTTATTTTTCTATTTTATTTACATACCATTTGTTTTTCAAGTTTTCAATGGAAACTATTATCATGGAAAATGTGAAACATTACCATGTAGGAAATATTAGACAAAAGGAGACTTTATAAATTAATTTATTTTTGATGAAGAGTAGAGAGCCAAGGGGGTTAACTTTTAAGTTAATTAGAAAGTAAAAGGCAAATTACAATTCAATGCACCTGACCCTACCATACTAAGTCATTCCCACATCCATGATGACTTTCGGTGAATAGAAAATATTTCTTTTCCGTGATTTCTCTACAAGACCTCTCAGTGCATATTGTGGAGGGCACATATTGCATGGAGCACTGGGTGTGGTACATAAGCAATGAACTTTGGAACACTGAAAAAAAAAAAGACCTCAGGGCACATATCACAAGTAGCATCCTATCTCTATGAAACAGGGTGATTCTATTTGTACAATTCTTCTATTTGTACAATTTTAAAATATATCTATTTTTTTAAGGCTACAATGTGTAGAACAGGTCTGACATAGGGAAGAACTGATACACAGAGACCCATAACGAGGCTATTACTATAACCCAAATCAGAGATGATGTTGATTTATTCCAAAGTGGTAGCAGTAGAGATAAACACGAAAGATTCCAGACATACTTAAGTAGATAAAATTGACATAATTTGGTGGGAAGGAAGAAACTGTTTTCAAGGAAGACAAGCAGTAGAGTATAGTGGCTGAGGGTTTGAATTCTAAAGTAAGGCTACATGATTTCAAAATCCAAGTCTGCCATTTCCAGACTCTGTTACCTTGAGCAAGTCACTTAACTTTACTCTGTCTCATGTCTTCATGTGTAAAATGGGATACAGTGCCAACGTGAATTAAATTATTTATTTAATTTTAATTTAGAACAGTGTTTATTATCTATCGAGCACACTATGAGTGTTTGTAATTATAATGATAATGCTATTAGCTTATGTAGATTATCCTGAAGAAGAACTACATTTGAGGGAGGAAATAGTGGGTTTGGTCTTGAACATTTTGGGATTGGAGTTTTATTTAACACATTCAAATTATATTAAACAGTTAAGTGGATATATATATGTCTAAAAGGAGAAATCTGTGCTGAAGACCAGAGTTGGTGGTGGTGTGTATGTATATTAATTAAATCAGTGAAAATATATGAGATTTCCTAAGGATAAATGTTACAGTGAAAAGAGACAGGTGCCCATGACAAAGCTTCAAGAAATTCCAGTTTTAAGGTAAGATAAAGGAAAACGAATTGGCAAGGGAGATAGAGAAACAAGCGGAGGAGTTAGAGAAAAACTTACATATCACAGAAGAGTGAGATATCACAGAAGCCCCAAGAAGAGTTTTCCAGCAGGAACAAGTGGTTAACTCTTTTGGGTACTGTAAAGAGGTCTACAAAACTGAGACTAGAAAGTATCTGTTGGGTTTACTAATACACAGATTATTGATAATCATAGCAAATGCAGTTGGGGTGGAGTGAAGGGACGGAAGTCAGGTTGGAGTGATTAAAGGACGGAGTCAGTGAGTGTAGACAACTCTTTTGAGTCGTTTGGCTGTGAAAATGGTGGTGAGGTTGGGCAGTAGTTTAATTGAGAAGAAAGACTTGTAAAGACTTGAAAATGATTAAATATTGGTGGCTTGGAAACCAAATATCAAGCAAAGGACCACGTGATGTGAAACGTTTTTCTTGTTGAACAGAACTCAGGTGGGGAAACCAAGTATCGAACAGAGAGAGACCACATGATGTGTAAACTTATGTGCTTGTGTATTGCTTACTCTTCTACCATTGGAGGATTGACAACCATCACCGGCACTTCTACCAACTTGATCTTCGCTGAGCATTTCAATATGTAAGTAAAGTTACTGGATTGTTGATTTAATAAATAGCATGTAACTTACAAGGATTATTCTTAACTGATTCAGAGAATTCAGGAATGGAAATTGCTATACTGAGCTAATTCTCCTTTGTTTTTCATCAGGACATCTATAGTTCTAGAGACCTTCCCTTCTAGTAAGAGTTAAATATGGAGGAAATAGTGAATTAACAGGTGCCTAAAGGTTCCCTAAGGCAGCTCAGAAGAGATGACTCCTGGCTGACCATTCTAATCAAATGGGGGAAACATTTCTCATTACAAATAATACCACAAATGACGGTTAACTAAAGTGAATAGGGATTATTTGCATAGGAAAATCTATGTAGGGTTTGGGAACTAGCATTTGAACTTAAAATATGAGTGTTGCACAAAGTTGCTAATTACAGAAATCTTACCTAGAATTCAGAAAGATTTGAAGGATTGGGCAATTGCAAGAAATGGCAGTAATAAAGTATTCTAAGGACAGATAAATGACTCTAAATATAAGTTTGTAACTGTGATCTTAATCCATTGGAGAACATGGGGAATCTGTGGGTAGAGTCAGATAACTTGGGTTAAAAATTCCACAGTTTTCAGACACTTACTTTGTGAATTCAAATAATAAAAAGTGCATTATTCTCCCAAGATTTTAAATTTTTCATATCTAAAATAATCACAGTTCAGATTATTATTGTGAGAATTAAATGAAGTAAACTATTTAAGAGAACTCTTGTAAGAACTATTGAAAATATAGTTTGAAAGTCCATGCTTTTACGTGAGGGCTCAAACTGATGGTGCACCTGAGATGTATTTTCAAGTATTAATAAGACAGATCATTGTCAGAGTTCCAGCAAGGTGGGCAGCATTAAGGACTCTCTGGAATAGGATTTACATCTTTTCATAGAAAAATTAGGGCTCAGAATCAGGAAAACTACATTCTTCAGAGCGGAAAAACAGATTTTATGAACTTCCTTAAAATTATTTGCAAAATGTTATGCATGCATAGCTTTTCCAAGAAATGTCTCACTTAAAAAATGTCACAGTCCATTCTGAAAAGAACAAGAACTGTGTGCAAAGAACAGTGGTAGAGGGGTTTAGGACAATCTAACACAGACCGCCGTGTTTATTGATTTTTTCTGTGATTATGCATCTATCCTGAATATTCCAACAGACAATTTAGAAAGGAACCTTAAAAAGGCATCTGGTTTATAAGTGGGAGACTTCTGAAATTCATTGTGTCAGAGAGGATATCTCCAATGTATCTTTTAATTAAAGACAGGAAATGTATCTGACCTCTTTCTAAAAGCTAGACTTCTATCCTTTTTCATGAATTGCCCAAGAAAAAAAATTCCACATTTCGGTCTTCTTGGTAAATCTTATTCGAAAATTTATACCAAAATTTTATTGTGTTATTTTTAGCTTTAGACAACTTCTGGTTTCCACCATTCCCATGAGATTGATGTTGTTAAAGTAATCCATATTGAGTTTGCCCTCAGTCTGAAGTCTTGTACAATGTACCAACCAAATTTTCTTTCTTCTATTTAACTGTTCCCTCTTTAGATGCAGTTATCCATTTGCAATGACAGATTGGAAGCACTATAGCACTTTAAGAGAAGTGTTTTAATAACTGTTTTCCCTAATTATCCTTTCTTCTAATTCTCCTAATCATGGGAACTTGGCCAAATATTCTTTAAATTTAGAAAATGCTTAACATGTACTTTGAAATTTGGTGAAGTTTTTTCTTCAAAAGTTTGCTTTAATATTAGGAATTATACACAAACAGAAAGAAACTCAAAGTATTCCTTCTTGATAGAAAATACTAGAATAGAGTAGGAAAACAACCTTATGTGAAAAAATATAATTGATGTTATTAAACCAGCCAGATCTTTAACTCACTTTTTCTTAAATATTGGCCCTAAAATACAACAACATTTCAAAGCAACAATGGAATGAGATACATTCAGTTTTATTGGGGAAAGCGCCAAAAACTTAAAACTGTAGGGGAAAAAAAAGACTTATATTTTTGTCCAGATGTTTGGAGCTGGAGAGAAATTGCTCTTTCTTTTCAAATATTCTACAATAATGCCACTTTTTCCTCTTGACATGCTTGCTGTCTATTCTAAAGCAATATCAACAGCCATTTTATATAATTTCATTTTGGATCTTGCCCAGCTCCATATGTTCAGGAATCCTAACGATCAATGATATCCCACCATTGGCATCTAGAGAAAGATGCTATCTTACAAACAAACAATGGGAGGAAGAGAATGGATAACACATTTTAAAGCCTTTGTTTAGCCATCTATCCACCTATCTATCACTTATAGATATAAAATATATTTATATGTAAATATATATTGTCTTTTGTTCTCTTTTTTGCACAAAGAATGTAAGAACAATGAATTATGAGAAAGCTAAATTTTATTCAGTGCAAAGAAAAACAAACATTTATCCATACATTTAGTCAGTCAACAAACATTTGTTTAAGACTGATGATGTACACGGTACTGTTTTGAATTTTTTTTGGAGAATGCAAAAAATAAAACTTGCCAGGAAGCTTTGAGATTCTGTCGGGTTTTCTAGATAAAATATACATATGTGAAAACCATTAAAATTTTTAAAATATAATAACATTTGGTTTTTGACATGTAGGAGAGAAGTAAGGTGATATGTATTGAACTCTTGCCAGAAATTTTACATGTATTTTAGTCCACACATATTCTATATACCCTTGCTGTAAAGGCGGCATATTAAGGTGACTAAAGCATAGGCTCTGGGCTTAAAATGCCTGTGTTGAAATCCCAGCTCTTCCATTTACAAACTAGATGATCTTAGATTACTTTGAGCTTTAAGATTACTTAAGTAATCTAAGATCTTAGATTACTTTAAGCTCTCTTAAAGCTTATTAACCTTGCAAGAAAAATGGAAAAATAATCTCTTAGAGAGTTGTTTAAAGTTTTACCAAAAAATAATAGTCCTTTAAAAAATATCTAGTGCAGAGTGTATGCTCAGTAAATGTTGATTATTACCATTAGAGTTGAGAAAGTTGATATTCAACCTAACAGACTGAGATCCAAACCATGGTCATTCAAACCTCAAGTCTGTCTCCCTAAAAAATCACCTCCCTAGAAACATTATTGAGCATGCACCCTAAAAGAAGACCATAGCTGTGTGCAGTACCCCTCGATCACTGGAGAAAACTTGTCTGTACAATATGGCCCAATTTAAAAGAGGTAAACACAATATTTATGGAGAAAATGAAGGCAGATAATTCATAAAATCAAAGCACAAAAAGTTTGTAATTTTTTTTTTTTTGGAAACAGTAAAATAGTCTGTGGATTTTCTTTTCTTTCCTTTTTTTTCTTACTGTTTAGAATAGTAATGTGCAGATTGATTGGCACCCTAAAAGTCTGGGGACAGGAGACCAATTAGGAGTCTGTTACCAAAGTGCTGACAAATGATAAGGGGAGAACTAAACTAGTTACGAAGTGATAGGATTAGACTCAAGACACTGTACAAGCAGGAAATGGTGAGCAATTAGGTGTGAGGATTTAAGGGCAATGAGGGGTTAGGGCAAGTCTGGGAATTTTTGCCAATATGGCTCAATAACTAGTGATGCCATGAACTTCTAGGTTCATTGGAGAAATTAACAAATTTGATTTTAGGTATATTAGAATGGCCTGCTAAGAGCCTATCCACAAGATTTCCAGTAGGCATTTGCAAATGCATTGTTGAAGTTAGTGAAAAATTTGAGGGCTATGTATATATATAAACACAGAAATTAGCATCTTGAATGCAGAAATGGTCACATGGGGAGAAAAAAGTTAGAAGAATCAAGACAAGGATGGACCCTTGGGAAATACTGACAAGAAAGGAGATGAGAAAAGTTTATCAAAGTAGGTGGAGAACCAGGAGCATGGGTATTTTGAAAGCTAAGAAAGACCATTTTCAAAATGGAGGATGAATCAGGAGCAAGTGTGGCAGAGGGTCAAGTAGGATGATGGCTAAGAAAAGGCTTGGTTCTTATCAGTGTCCTCCAACAAAACAGTGGGAGGTGGGGCAGAATTTAGATTGGAAAGAGTTAAGATGTAAGTATTAGCAGGGAGGGGAAAGCAGCTAATTTAAATGATTTTTCAAGTTTGACAAAGTAAAGAAGAAAAGAAGAAATATGTTATGACCAGAGACAGAGTTCTCCTGGAACAAGGAAGATGCCAGGTTTGTTTTACACTCAGGAAGGAAACTGTAAGAGAGATGTGACATTTTGAAAAAGAAAGAAAGAGAAAGAGAGAAGAATACTGATTGGCTGGGTGTCAGGTAGAAGAAGAATGAAGTTAGAAACAAGAGTAGAAATATAAGCTTCTGCCCGTGGATGCCGCCAAGTAAGCATCGTTAAAGTCTCCCCTCCCACCGCCATCATGTCTAAGTCAGAGTCTCCCAAAGAGCCTGAACAGCTGCGGAAGTTCTTCATCGGAGGTCTGAGCTTTGAAACAACCGATGAGAGTCTGAGGAGCAATTATGAGCAATGGGGAACACTTATGGACTGAGTGATAATGAAAGACCCAAACACCAAGCGCTCCAGAGGCTTTGGGTTTGTCACATATGCCACTGTGGAGGAGGTGGATGCAGCCATGAATGCAAGGCCACACAAGGTGGATGGAAGAGTTGTGGAACCAAAGAGGGCTGTCTCAAGAGAAGATTCTCAAAGACCTGGTGCCCACTTAACTGTGAAAAAGATTTTTGTTGGTGGCATTAAAGAAGACACTGAAGAACATCATCTAAGAGATTATTTCAAACAGTATGGGAAAATCGAAGTGATTGAGATCATGACTGACCGAGGCAGTGGCAAAAAGAGGGGTTTTGCTTTTGTAACATTTGATGACCATGATTCTGTAGACAAGATTGTCATTCAAAAATACCATACTGTGAATAGCCACAACTGTGAAGTAAGGAAAGCGCTCTCTAAGCAAGAGATGGCTAGTGCTTCATCCAGAAGCATC